ACTATATACAGTAGTTCACCAAAAATAACCCTCAACAAATACATATATTTTCTTTTAATTAAAAAAGCACTTAAAGTGGCTCTTAGAATGTAAGAAGTTGTTGTTGTTGTTGCTGTTGTTGTTGTTGTTGTTGTTGTTGTTGTTGTTGTTGTTTCATAGAAAACCAGTGGGTTTAGAGATGCTGCCATGAAACATATTTTAATAAAAGTCGCCACTTCATGTTGCACAAAGCTAAATATGAGAAACTTACTTAAGTCATGAGTACAGAAACAACGGTAGCTTTTTACAACAACCATGCAGGAGTCTGCACTCAAGGTGTCTTCTTTTGTTGCACTTCTTCTCGCAAAAGTTAGTGTTTATTTTTGTTTGCTTCAAATATTTTGTATTCATATTTAAACAACAGTACAACTGCTATTTGAGCATGATTTATGTTAAGTTACTGCACTGTATGTTGGTTTAATAAACATATAAATACACAAACATTTTGAAAATGTCATTTTTTTATTACATTTGGGTAAGTGTGCAGCATTGTATGTCAACAGAACATCGTGTCCACTTCTGTCATTTCAGTTGCCCACTCTTACACTAAAAAAACTGTTTTGTTGAATTTCCTTAAACAAATTATGTCAATTGGTTTTACTCAACTGAATTGAGTAAATGTACCACATTTACTTCACATGTACTTTTAAAGTAAATGTAAAATTTGCTTTACATTTCCTCAATTCAGTTAAATGGAACTAGTTGATGTAATTTTGTTACGTAAATCCAACACAACTGTTTTTTGAGTGTGTATAGGTAGTTATTGTCTTGTGTACAAATTGGCTGTGTCCAAAACGACAGGCCGGATCCTCCGTAGGACCCAGACTACCTGATCGAGGTGGGCTGGGTCCTTGGTAGACCGGGAAGACCGGAAAAAAAGAGGCTGTGAATTTGGACGGTCTAGCGTCCCATCCTTATGTCGTCACCTAGCAACTGTGATGACGCTAAACAAACTTAAATCAAAACTAGAAAAATATCAATATTTTAGCATCATTAACATCACAAAACTATAAAATTAACTTAAAGGTAACATTTGAAGAACTAATTGACCCGCTGTAGGTGCATGTTTATTTCACTTTTTTTATGATAAAAATAATATTTAAAAACATGTCCATACAAATGATAAAAAT